TTGGCAAAATTTCCACGGTTTCCGCGATTGAGTGAACAAATTGCTGATAATTATTTAGCCGTGACTAAAAGGAGAAGGAAAAGTCGTCAGCTCTTTGCTCATCATCTTCGTTCATTTTTCCGGAGGGAAATGCCGGATGTTCCCAACATCCATCGTTCGTTCAGATCAACGCTTAGCATATCATTCATAAGCAGTTCTTTCAGAACTCCCCAACAAAAGCCATCGCTCCAAGAAGAGTACATATCAAAGTAAATCTTCATCAACTTTCAGAAGTATTGATTCATAAATATCTAGAGCCGCACCAGAAGGTGACCATGTGGATCTCGCGATTGCTCAAAAGAATATTTTTTACTAGAAATAAAGAAGGAAAAAGGTTTCGAGGTTGTAATTCCCCAGAATTTTCAAATTGGCAAATTTTTCCCCGCGGTACGGAATTTTTTTCCTATGTTATGGCTCATACTGGAATTGTCCTGGAAAAATACTACCCATGAAGTTGGGCATGCTAAGCGCAAAGCCGTCACAGGGCACTGTTTTTGTTTCGGAAGAATGAAGGCTAAAGAGAGCCACTGGGCTGTGCCATTCGGGCTACTTCCCGAATGCCTCCAACTCTCACTGAAAGCAAACACGGAGAGATTTTTTTCGGGGGGTTTTGAAACATGAACCTCAAAGTATCCTCACTGCTCGATTCCAGGAAAATGCTTGTTGATCCTCCTGTCCGCACATCATTCTTGAATCTGTGCGTAGTATCAGCTTTTTTTAACAAGTTCTTGGAAAAAAAAATTCATCTTTTTCAAACAAAGCGTTTTCCATGTAAATTCTTGAGCAACAACTTACTCCACACTCTTTATTCTAGGATTTCTTTGTTTTTTGGCAATCTTCTTTTGAAAATCGCTGCCATTCGAATGTAGTAGAAGGAGTATTAGGACAGCGCCTTTTCTGCTGACACATCTGTAGAACTAGCTAACTTAAGAATTCGATCTCTAGGACAGCTTTCAACCTTATATCCAAAGCAGTGAGCTGACCCTAGCTGTGCGAGCATGTAATTACTGTTGGCAGTCAGGCAACTTTCTAAAGGCTTCTAGCCAAGAAATCAAGTATAAATTTTATCCCTAAATCTAACTGATCGGCGACTTATATTCGTTTGAATCGTTATCGATCTCAGTGAACGAGGAAAATGACTTCGGGGGGAGGGGGGTACCATAAAATTTGAGGCAATTTCCGGATTTCAATGGCAGTACTCTCACAGCCAAATGACGCTCCTGCATCTCCATATAGCAGTTTTTTCAGCAAAATCACCGGGCATAAATCTTCGTTTTCATAAAATCAAGAGCACATTCTGACTTCAGGGATCGAGTATTAGTGAAATGTGCTCTACTGCTTCAAGGCTGCGCTAGAATGCGTTTTTTTTTCGGTACTGAAAATGGCTGTAAGTGTGCAGGATATATACAGTGTTTTGAAATGTTTTATGTTCTAAAAGCTTGTCATTCGTTCAAGGATAATAAATGGAAAAATGTCTTTCACCTAAACGACTCGGCATTTAATCTAAAATAACGAGAGAAATGGTTCGGGAAGCATCGATAAAATTCGCGTACACAGTGGTGATAATTCTGGAATTTTTTGGGAAATTTGAAAATGAACGCTGTACAAGAGAAGTCAAGCACAGAGATACTTATGTAAAAACTCAATATGAAAATGCAACTACAAAAACTAATCCGATTATGGAAAACATGACCGCAGAGTCCGATACACGCAAAGATTTCAGGTAGCGCATTTCCCGGCCTATAGAGGGGGAATCGGAGGGGAAAATTTGGCAGGATCTAACCAGAATCGTGTGCAGTCCAAGGGGATTTGTAGTTGGACAACGAATTTGATCCAAAATTGAAATTTGATCCAGTAAATAAGACAAATTCAGTTTTCTCTCATCTAAAGTAGAAATGCTCAGTAATGGACGAAATTATTTTAGTTCGTTATTTATCGATACCAATGAGGAAGCGCCATCCCCCTCCCCCCCACTCCTCCTCCCTCCCTCCATTCCTCCTAAAAAAAATTTGCGTAATGTGAGTAAATTCAGCTCAAAAACCTCAGTTTTTATCCGAGAATAGATGAAGTAGCTTGAATTAGCCCCGAAATTATCTCCCCGACCTTAAATCCAAGTTCAAAATACATTCTCATATTTTTGAACATAGCGAGATTTTAATATTTTACTTTTTATGACAATAATCCTCTTCCCCCCGACAATTTATGAAGATGATGTAGAAATGGTATGAAGGTGGTATGAAAATGATGTAGAAATGGCAG